TTCAGACCTTTATTTTTTTTTTGCCTTATATTTCAATCTCTCCCATGTTGCTCCTTTAGAAGCCAACGGAAGGGAGGTGTCTGGGTCCCCAGGAGGCTGCACCGAGTGATGAGGCCAACGCAGAGAAACCACCAGAGCAGCTGGACGCCCCTGAACCAGAGCGGGACTGCGGCTGGAGCAGTGTGAAACCTGCAGCCCAGCCGCAAAGTGAGAAGGAACTGAGCCGCGAAGGCGATGTAGCGAGCCCCCCAGACCCCGGCACTGATGCCGACAAACGCGCTGAGGAGGGGCGCGGTGCCGTGGGAGAGAGCGAGGACTGGCAGAATGACAGTGTCGTCTCCTCGGGGTGGGACAGCGCTGCTCTGGAGGCAGAGGCCCTTGAAGCCGGCCTCGGTAAGAGACGGGAGCCGGCGCCCGGCGTGCGCTCTCCGGCATGGTCCGAGTGACCTGGTGATGAGCACCGCGAGCACAGCACGTCCTTGGAGAACCAAAACCTGGAGAATGCCCTGGAGGGGCTGCAACAGCCCAGCGCAGGGGAGGCAGCAGGTGCAGTCTGAATCTTTGTTCTATAATAGGTTATTCTTCTGTTTCTTTGCAGAAATTCCACTTGAGGACATAAAGGAGCTTCCTCGAACTCGGTCTGGTCTCCAGTCCTACAGAAATCACTTGATCATGGAGCTGCTGTGGTTGCAACAAGCTATCGTCAGCCGTAAAAACGTAAGGGCCTGACCCTGCCTCTGGCAGAGCAGCGGGGCAGCCCCGCGCCCGGCTGAGCCAGCACCGGGCCCTCTGCGTGGGACTGGGCTTGCACCCTGATGGTTCAGCTACCCAAGGACTGGGTCAGATGATGGCAGCGCCCTTTTTTTCCTTGCTCTGGGGGGAATGATGATGGCAAACAGGAGCTGTTTAGGTCTGGTTCCAAGCTTTGCTTGTGGCCTGCTATGTAGGCACCGGCTAGCGTAGCGAGCTGCTATTCGCGCTGCTCGAAAGGCGAGACTGGTGCATCTTCTGGCCAAATGCGATGGTTCTGCTGGCTGATCTGCAGGGGCGGGTGCTTTCCTACTGGTGGGTGTCTGGGATTTAATCGTTAATCCTTGGTTTTCTTTCTCTTGCAGTACCTGATGCTGAAACAGAAGCTGGGGACTCCTGACCCGTAGGGCATTCCCGAGCACGCGGGGCACTTGGAGCGAAGCTGTAGCACCGCAGTCGTGACGTGACCTCGCAGACAGCAGCAGTTTAGGGGGACTCCAGCTCTGTGGGTTGATGTTTTCCATTTCAGGTGAATGTGGCAAGAAAGCCTTTTATTTCTTTTAAATGTGAATATTTGGTCAAAGCAGGGATTAAGCCAGGGAGGTGGCTGTGTGTCCTGGAGGGAGTCCCAGGGAGGCCTCCTTCCATAGGAACTCTGTTGGCTGAGCTGGATGGTCCTAGGGGAAGATCAAGGCTGGGAAGACTGTCACTTAGAGAAGGCGCTTTCTGACAAGCTGATTGCTTGTGGTGGAACTAAAATACCTGAAGGCAGTGGGTGCTTTGGACCTGCAGGAGGAAGCTCCTCTCCGCTGAACTGTGGGTGACCCGTATCGGTGTCAGAGCTGCGTGTTTGGGATGGCTCTGCACGTCACAGCTCTGCTGTGTCTGGGGTCTCCGGGCACTTGTGGTCGGCTTTGGGGGACACCCAGGTGACACCCAGGTGAAGTACTGAGATAGCAGGAGAGTTTCCTAACTTCCTTGTGCGGTTGGTGGGGAGCCATGGCACATCAGACCTGACCTTCAGGGGATGAAGCTTGGCTCCTGGCTTGCCACGGTAATATCTCTCTGTGTGGCAGAGTCACCTGGACTGGTGCTTGAGGGAGCATGTAAGGACTTACGGGGTTTGGTGCTTTGTCTACACGTTGCTCTAGTTCAGGGGCACTCGAGGTCCCTCAGAAGGGGACTTCCCACGTGGCGCTGTGGCTCCCTGCTGTGACCCTGAGTCTTCTGTGGAATAGTTCAGACTTCCTGCTGT